ATCACTCTGGATCCATCACATCCAAGCCATCTCCTTTTTGAACTTTTGCCATCTGGTCGGTGTTACAGAGCACCGAATACCAGGACAGCCAGGACAACAAGAACAGTTTCTTTCCCCAGGCAATCTACCTCATGAACAGTTAATGTTCTCCCATTGTGCAATTAAAGTATGTGCAATAACCTTATACTTATTTATCACCCTAAATCCTAGTACATCCCTACAACTTTATTTTATTTTATTCTATTCCTATTCTATCTATAGCACACCTGTACATACAATTTATTCTTTTTTTGTGGTTTATATTTATGCATGTGTATTTTATTCACATCTTATTTTTATTATCTGTGTGTTGTTGTTGTCTCCGTGTACTGGAAGCTTGTGACACTATAACAAATTCCTTGTATGTGCAAACATACTTGGCAATAAAGCTCTTTCTGATTCTGATTCTGATTCTGATTAGCAAGTAACACAATTAATTAAATGTGAAATTTTGAAATAGACAAGTTTTTTTGTTTTATTGACAACTTTGAAAAAAATATGTTTACATTGTTTTTTTATTTTTACATATTACACACACACACACACACACACGTTTACTTAGCTATCTAAATGGGGACATTCCATAGGCGTAATGGTTTTTATACAAACTGTATTTTCTATCGCCCTACACCTAAACCTACCCCTCACAGGAAACTTTATGCATTTTTACAATTTAAAAAAAACGTTGTTTACTTTATTTTTATGCCAGTTTTACAAATGAGGACGTTCCCAAAGGGAGGTTTTTGGAGATTTTGTCAGGTTTAGCTCACTTTTGGGTACAAATTTGTCCCCAAAATATGGTTAAGTAGGTAGACACACACACACACACACAGAGAGAGAGAGATTAAAATATATACTCGTATTGTTTCTGAATAATAAAAGTGCAAAAATTTCACCTGCCGCCCAACTCTCTGTCTTTCTCTTCCCCTCATTCTCTTGTAGACCCTCCCTCACAGTTCCCTTCATATTTTGCAATGATTTTGATAACTTAAAGTGGCTGTGAGAGAGTAAGTGTGTGTGTCATAACACTTCTCTAAGCTACCTATATTTATGGCTGAAAGTGAATTCTTGATGAGCACTGAGATATCAAAGACTCCACGATCAAAGCTTCTCTAATAAGCAACCCACTGTTCTCTGAAAACCTGGACTTTTTATCGCACTCGGTCTCTACCTTCTCCTTAACTGGGATTATGCAAAAAGAGATGCGGGGAGAGCAAACATCTGTAGTCGCATTGTCATTCTCTAGTCTTTAATTTGTTCATCTGTACACCTTTGTAGAGGAAAATGTCCCGGCACAGGTTTGCCTTTTTGACTGTAGCCGCTCCCCCCTCACATTGAAATTTTGCTGTCACTTTTGAAAGCTCACCTGACGTGCCTCATGCTACACTTCCTTTAGCATGTGTCAGATTTATTTCTCTTTTGCTCAGCGGTGTGGTGCTGTTTGTGCTCTGGGAACACATGACGGTGTTTAAGAATGTGAGAGAGCGAGAAAGACGGAAACCACAGCAAAACCATCCTGAAACAAATCCAACACTAAACCGTTTGTAATAGAGGCTGGATGTTTATGTCTGCGGGATCTTAATTTTGTTTTGTGTGACTTCTACATAGACAAAAATATCTCAAAGTGAACCGAAGATTGAGAGTCTGAAGGTGTCTTCTCTACATCTCCTCACACAGTCATGAAAATACAAGCGGCTCACACTCAGCCCTGAGTGGTCATGTGATTCACGGTTCATCTCTTCCCTCCTGCTGCGTCTCTGGACCACGGTCTGCCTCTATCACATTCTTTCATTAGTAAAGGAGAATGTAATCGAGTGTGCCACACAGACTTTAAGAGTTGTCTCTTTCAAACATGTCTATGATTAAGAGGGTCACACGATTAAAGAGAGCTCAGCAGGCTTGTGAAAACATGTACTTACACACTCACACTTGAGGCGGTTGCATGGATGATTAAAATTGAATGATAATGATACAGTTATGCATTGGGCAACACACTGAGGTTAAATAATGATAATAGCCCTTCACCCCCCACCCTCACCCCCTTTTCTTTGACATCTGTAATAATGCAAATCTTCACTGCAACACGGTGGCATAATTACCGGGTATGTTAAAAGCATTTACAGCGCAGACGTTCCAATGAGCAGACATACCTCCCAGTGTTAAAGGCTTTAAGGGAGACGAATATTGATATTAAAGAGAGTGTAAGTACACCGCTGGTGTGATAATGTATGTGATTATATATTAGAGAAGAGCAGGGCTCTCCTCCTTCTGTGATGGACATGCCCTGCAGATTTATTTTTTTCTCTTAACCCTCATGATCTGTTGAAACTGGTTCATTGACATTAATGTTTTTTTATGTTTTGGGTGCCAGAGACCGCAATGGTTTAAATAAAACAAATATACTGTATATTATACAGCAAAGACATGTTACATTGATCAAAAGTGACAGTAAAGACATTTATAATGTTACAAAAGATTTCTGTTTCATATAAATGCTGTTCTTTTGAACTGTTATGCATCAAAGAATCCTGAAAATGTATCACAGTTTCCACAAATATACTATGAAGCACAGTCATTTTTAACATTGATATAATAGGAAATGTTTCTTGAGCACCAAATCAGCATAATTAGAATGATTTCTGAAGGATCGTGTGACACTGAAGACTGGAATAATGGCTAAAATTCAGCTTTGACATATGGGTAAAACGGCTGTGAAAAGTCAACATGGTAAATTAATTCATATTAAAGGGGTCATAAAATGGAGAATTAAAATTCTTGATATTTACACATTCAAGAGTTTACTCTACAATAAAAACATACTGCAAGTTTCAGAACTCAAAACGAACTCCGCAGTTCAAAATATGAATGATTATTTTCTACCCATTTGAAAGGCCCAGATTTTAAATCAGGGGAATCGTGACATCACAGTTCTCTTCGACACATCCCATAATATGCGTCATCGTCGCATGTAATAAAGGAGGTGTTTTCCATACCTACAACTCATGCCTGTCCATCAATCACAAGAGACGTTGAGTAAGACCATCAATCTCAGACGTTGTTTTGTCAGTGGATGTAAAAGAAACTGCACTTTCAAAAACGTTGATGCTATTAAGACACCAAGCGTATAATTGTTTGAGCATTGCTAATAAAATCATTACATATCAGACAAATCAGTAAGGATCAGAAATAGTTGACTTTAATATTTTTATCATGGAAGTTGAATCTTATTACAGTTTATGTTACCATTGCTATTAGCCCTTCACACTTTACTGTCATAATCTTTTAATAAATTTGTTAACAGTACAGTCCAAATATAGATATTTGATTTTGTTTATGTTGATTTGCATTGCAAATGGTTGTGTTGTTTCAATTTCTTCTGCCTCAAGCTTAAACATATGCGCCTTGCATAGAAGACATGCAATATGGTGCAATGAAGTCAGCCAATCACAGCAGTGGGCATTTACTTCCACTTCTTGAGGTAATGCCCATTGAAATTGAGTGTTTCACAGAGAATGAAAATGTAGTTGGACAATGATAATTTTTTTACAAATATTGGACCTTTTTAGGTGCAACTTTATAAAGTAACCTTGAGAAACATAATATAAAAGTCTGAAACTGCATTTCATGACCCCTTTAAAACAGGACATTGGGCTCGTATTTTAGTTTTTCATTATCATGTGTAATTCATTGCATTAATTCATGTTTTATATCTGGGATCTCTGAGACCCAGACATAGATAATTACATTATTCATGGAGGACAGTTGAAGCATGTTATCAAGTTATCATTTTGTTAACACTCCTTTCTCATTAGATTAGGAAAAGTCATGAAGAATAAACCTTGTACTTAACATTTAAAAATTTTTCTAAAGCTACTAAAATGGCCTTGGGGTCTCTCAGAGCCTAAATAGAACATGAGGGTTAAACAATGTTTACAGCGCTGGAGGTCCGAGTTTATCTTTCAGACACAATTTTAATTAGTGTTAGTTTAATTGACGGATAGCACAGATGAAGGAGCAGTGGGGAGGAACGTAAGTGGCCTTAGGCATGCTGATGATTTCCTTTGTTAAGACACTTACAATAGTGGACTAAACACAGCCATTAAAAGAGGCTTCAGATGATCTCTGCATGTTCAGTGATTCATCACAAATGTCACTGATCCATCCATCCAGACTGTCCTCTATTCATCCAATACTCTATCTATTCTCTACAACAAAGCTGGAACAGAGTTCAAACATGCAATATTGTGTCCCAGTGTTTTCATAGCTGGCCTTTTTGGGGTCACTTCCCCTCCGGGCTGAGTATCCATCACTCCTCTAGCAGGAGCGGACAGGGTCCTAGAGTCACACTGGTGGCCTCAGGCTTTCCTTGGTCACTAGCCCTTGTCTGGGACGGCCACTGGGGCCTTCAGACCTGCAGCTGGCTCCCTCATGACCCCTGAACTCTCCAACACCTTCATCATCTTATTAACCCCACCACCCACACACAATCAGGCTATTAACACCAGGCAAAACACAACACACACTTGGCCTGTTTTGTCACTCAGATTATAGCTATTACTGACATCAACTCCTCCCAAAAAGCAATACAGTCTGCTAGTGATAGATTATCATTCAGATTATATCTGTCAATCGATTACCATGTCCATGCCATTAATGAGGATGTTTAAAAGGCTCTTACAACAACACAGCTGTGGTGTTTTTATTCAAGGAATAGTTTTTGAGGTCAAAGATCGTTTTGGCATGATCTCAATTATTATTATTATTATTTTTAAATTACAAGGCTGCTGCCTAATCTGAAGGTGTTGTTTATTGCACAGATAAAAGAACATTTAAAAATATATAATTAAAAAAAATCTAAAATACAGCATATGTGTTGCATCACATTCTATATCCCATATACTGCATATAAATCACACACACATACACGTTCCATAGGCAAAATGGTTTTATACTGTACAAACTGTATTTTCTATCCCCTTACCCTAAACCTACCCCTCCCACAAAACTTTCTGCTATTTTAGATTTTCAACAAACCTCAAAATGTATAATCTTGTTTCCTCATGAGGACCAAAAAAGGTCTCAACAAGGACAATCATTTTGGATATTGCAATCTTTGTGGGGAGGAGTTTAGTTCTCCTCACGTTTTATTTCATATGTGTATGTATTGTATGTTCAACAGGAAATTGTACTTCAAAAAATATTAAAAAGATAAAAAAGAAGGAAATAGAAGAACAAAAGTCACTCCCATTCCCCTAAAGTAATGAATTTCAGAATCTTGAGGAAAATAATTAACTATTAAATATTGATGAATTAAGGCACAGCTGCAGCTCCTCAGTTTCAGGATCCAACTGACAGAGACATGAAACGCATGTTATCCCAATTCCATACATACAAACGTGGTGTTTAATAATTTATGTTGTCACAAATCACTTGCAAAATCTTTCAGTGTCTCTGTTTTGTTTAATAAATCCACTGTAATCAGAAATAGTTCCTAACTGAGTAATACAGGGTGACACTAAGTGACACAAATATCCACACAGAGAAACTCTAATATAACATGCAGCACTAATATGAATTAAAAAAAAAAAAAAGTCTAAGCAACAACTCAGATGCAGATTCTTAGATATAATTAATGCAAATGACCTGTGTGACCTGTCAGGGTTGAGTCAGGTTAACCAAATACAGTATCGGTTTCTGTTTATTGCTCCTGCACTCTAACACACAGCAGTCTTCCATGTCTCTCAGAGCAAAGCTTATTCTGACCTTCAGCTCTGACTACTATAAAGAGACGAAGGTTCAAACGGCCCCTCTCTTTCACCCCTCACCTCTGGTCATTCATCCTAATCTAACAGCACTCCTTCATACCACTATACAGCACGGGCACACAAGCCAGATTCACCCATTCAAATGTGTTTTGCCTGGAGATGTTTAGGAAAACAACAAGCAAAGTGATCGAGTGCATTTGTGTGTGTGTCCACAAACGGAATCATTCTGGCACTACTTTCAATAAAACAAATGACTAACATGTAAACACAAGAAATAATCAAAGGAAACAACAAGAGGGAGGGGTGTTGGTTAGACACTAGTGCTTTTAAGGCACAGGTACAAAAAGGAAAAATGGGCCAAACAAAGCAAGTATGCAGTGTGCTGCAGATTTACACGCCATTTAATCATCAGGAGGGTTTACATGCTGAAACAAGAAGGATAAATGAAAAGTAATTATCCATATTCCCATTACTGACTGATGCCGTCTCAGAGTAAATCACAGAGAACAATCCCTCTCATCTATAGGGATCTGTTAACAAAGATGTCAGCAAAGTGCCACCAGCAAACTCATTTTTCTTATAAAGAGAGAGAGAGACTGCTTCATATACTGGATTCCCCTAATTTCATCTGTCTCTCGTTCGATTTTTCCCAAGACATAAACATTTGTTGGGAGCCAGTCATTTCCTCACAGTAAATTAATCCTGATGCTATCAATTAGTAAAGTATATAACGGTGTGTCCCACTGCCTCTCTCTTTCAGTCAGTACATTTATATGTAATTAACATTTGCAGTTTTTTAAAGTTAGATTAAAACATATAGTAAAAAAAAAAAACGTCTCAGGTTACGTATGTAACCCTAGTTCCTCGAGGGAACGAGACGCTGCGTCGGAAACGCTAGGGGAACGCCCTTCAGCGTGACGGGCTCTGAACCTCATATGTAATCAGGGTGCAGTTGCATTAACAACATTTTGTCAAATTTTCACAGAAAAAAAGGTCTATTGACAATAGTGCAGTGATGTATGAAGCATAACTCACACAAAAGTCACTTTCAAACCAAGCAGATTTCGGAATGAATGAATGAATGATGCATTTATATAGTGCTTCATTGTGTATTGCTGTACACCCAATTCACCCAAATATTCAAAAACAATATTTCTGTTGATCAGCGCAGCATGACAAACTTTGGAAAATCTGCACGGGGAAATCTTTCACCCCTATGCGAGATTTACAATTGTGCAGATTCCTATTCATACCACTGAATTTTGCCCGTTTTTATTTTTTTTTACTTCAAACCATTGCTTCTAGCTAAAACACAAGTCATCTATCAATCTAATCATCTTGTGTTAATCAGGAGAGAAATATGTACAGATCAAGCACCATTTACAAGTGAAACCAGCCCAAAATAGTTCTAACGAAACATGTTGATGGATTTTGATGTTAGAGGACAACAGGGAATGGAGTTTTTCACTGGAAACAGCGTTATCATAGAATATAGATTATGTACTTGCATTTTGCCCAGAAGTGACAGTTTAAAGTTAAAATGTCTTAATTATGGGTTTGTTTCTAACTGGAGTTGTTTCTAACTGGACTGGAGTTTTGTGGATTACTTGTAGATCATTGTGATGTTTTTATCAGCTGTATGAACGGCAGAGGATTCACTGGTGAGCAGTGAGGTAATGCTAAATTTCTCCAAATCTGTTCAGATGAAGTAACAAACTGGGATGGCCAGACGGGTGAGCACATTTTCAGCAAATTTTATTTTTTTGAGTGAACTATTCCTTTAATGTTTCATATATATATATATAT